GCAGCGTGCAGCAAATAGTTGGCATTCCGCAAAGTTGCTAAATTCTCGGGTGAAAGCACAAACTCACCAGCGTTACGACTGCGGGCCATGCAAGATCTCATGGCCACAAGGTTCACAAACAGAGCTGCTCTCAGCCTTGCATCACATGCACAATAGGGGCAAGCAATGCAACACACAAGGAGCAGCAGAAGCATGCAAAACCAAGAAACGCACAGTGCTCACTTTCAGGGGCCGCATTTGCAGCAGCCACAGTGATTCCCTTCAGGAACTTTGCAAGCACTGCACCTTCCTGATCACCAGAGGTTACCCTGTTTCAAACACAGCTGCAGGTGGAATCGATTTGACGGCAAGTGTCAGCACCGTTAAAGTGCTTTTGCACGAGGGTGGGGTAGTTCTGTTTTCCCAGTGGATACAGCTGCTTCCTTAAAGTGTTGCATCAAGAAAAGAAACGAGGAATGCAAATCACAGCAGTGGGTCATACTGTAATCAAGTTCGCTTTTCTTGCAGGCTAGTCACACACTGAAAATTTGTCCACGATTTCCTGCATGGTTACCGAGCAACCGAGCAACAAGCAAACATTGTGGCAAGACTTTACATTCGGGTAAACAACATCCAAACCACAGTTGCGCACAGTTCACGTGCAGCCTAGCTACTGACTTTGTGCTGTTTGCACAGTGCAATGAACTGACAATATGCCAGTCTCAGACGCTCATCTTGGCTGTCAGCTTCCCAAAAGGCGCTATCTTCTGTAAGTTCTATTAAAGCCTCAACAGCGAGTGACTCCCACTGTGCCAGAAGCTCTTCCAAAACTATTTACTCCCCATGACTCCCCAAAAAGGAAAACACACATCCTTACTGCAGAGCGTCACTCGCACAAACCTCCGGCGTGAGCGACAAGTCAACAAGATGGAGCCAGTCCGCAAGGACCAGCTCCAAATCAAATCCTGGCAGTCGTATCCAAGGACCAGGCCGACATCCGTTGGCCATAAAATATTCGTTGTTCACAAGAGTCCCTCGATGTGGGGCATTAGGCCCAAAGGCAGTGTACATCAAAGCACCGTGGGAAGTAGCAGCGCAGTACATGCAAACCCGTTCCGAATTCCAAGACGTTGTGAGCTTCAAATTGCGCTGCAAATATTTCTGGTCCCCTTTCAGGGCCACCAGCACTCCGCGAAACTGCCCACAAATATGTTGTCCAGCCTTTGGCCGTTGACAAGGTGCACCATACAAATCAACATCAAAGAATCTACCCTCCTGTAACTCACACAGTCCGTATACGACCCATGAGTCTAACACATCATAGGTCTCCGTCACTGCCCGTGACGTGTCTATGATGTAGATCATCACGCGATTCTCCCAGGTCGATCTGGCAGGCATAAGTGGGCTACCAATGGTCACTGTGCAAAATGACCTCCTCCGGTGACTGTCTGCATCATCACCATGACACATGATCGGGAACACGAATCTCAGGTCCACTTCCTATATATGGCAACGCTGAAATCAAACCACATCACACCAAGACCCAAAACTTCACTGATCTTGACTCTTGACAATTGGTTTGCTCATTTCTACAGCAAGCCGAGACTCAGGGTTGTTCAGGATGGGATGGTTCTGGAACCACCGTGTTCCCCTTTGGTTGTTCCAGAAAGTTTCAAGAGCCTGGGAAAAGAAAGTCCCCCAAATCACAACATCACATTACACGTTTGATATGCGCACAAGAAACCCCCGGAGGACCAATCCATCGGTCGCGGAATAGCCCTTCATCATACTCGTACATTGAATGGATCCTGAATGAGCAGTAATTTTTGAAGGTGATGCAGGACAGTGTTCCGGAAGCATCTTCATGACATATCAAGAATTCAAAGTCTCCAAGTCACACTTCGCTCGGAAGGAACAGGTGCCAATCACCCAAATAGTGAGGCTGCTGACGGCTATGATCCACCAAAACCACTTGCACCCTAGGCGCATGATATGTCGTGTCAACCCTGATTGGTTCACAGCACAAATAAAATGGTCACATCACGTGATTTGTTCCAAAGGACTCCTTGGGTCGTGGTAACATGGCCCTCCATTTTTGTTTATGTAGCCATGACCAAAATCGACGGCCACAGTTCTTGGTGTCCTCCTCATCGATAGCCACCAAAGCTCGAAGATTTGCCCTGGGCAGGTGTAAAGGTCGAGGGATATACTCCACCTAAGGGACATCGATAACTTGTCTCATGTTGTTCATGTAGCATCCAAGGTTCGGGAGGTGCTTGCTTGGAATTCTTCTACGAAGAACCCGCAGCATTTCGATCAATGTGGAAACGCTTACCTGAAACAAAGCTCGCTTAAAAAAAACAAGTCCAAGGTTCCACCAGCTTGGAAAACACAGGCGCTGTTTTTGCCATACAAGATACATTCTTTCCCAGTTCCAGAAACTCCTCGACAATATCCATGAGGCAGGACCGAGAGGTTCCAAAGAAAACCAAAGGTCAAGGGTTTGTGGCGATAACTCTTTGTTTTACTTAGGTTGCACTACATGTATTGCATTCCTACCACCTTTGAGATGAGACATGGTGCCAACTCTTTGCCACCGGTTTCCATCATTTACTACAACGCAAACTGTGAACCTCAGTTCAAAGACGTTCACTGACACGCCACAGTTTGCAAGGGTTTTTGGTTTCGACTTAGAGTTGCCACACCCTTTCTTTTCCCTTTCTAAATTTCAACCTGATCCAGCAAACTGTTGCCATTGCAACAGCTGCCTCTGTGCAGGTGCGAGTGGTTCTCTGCAGACCAAGTTCTGTTGGCCGGGAGGCCAAAGGCTTTGCCATATGATCCCCTGGATCAGTATGAAAAGACCAAGCGATACCAAGCGTCAACATCAATGATACGTTGATATTGGGGTGAGATCAAGGTAGTGGGCAAATCCATGAAAACTGTCACCAGGAGAAAGTCCCCAACGTGCATCGGACTGGTGTTGACCAATCCAATTATTGAAAGTCTTAGCTGGCATGAACCCCTGGACCGTTTTGAAGCCTAGAGCTCAACATCATGGGCAAGTGGTGAAAACCACAAAAGCCCTGCACTGCCCCATCGTGAAATAGAAGGAGAACCACTAAATACAAGGAACCGTTGAGTGGTATAGCGACGACTGTAAAGCAACAGAGGGCATACTATGAAACACATCTACTCCGATTCCGCTTCACTCTCTACAGGGGGCTGCGGTGTCTTTTTCTTGGGGCCTTTTGCAACAGTAATACGACGCTTGGCGTCTCGCACATCGACTTCAATCGGCTGTGCCTGATGCTTTTGCTCTTCCAAGAAGCTAGTGAATTCCAGTGCATCAACTTCCGACAGAAGAACAGACGCCTTTGCATCAACATTGTCAAAACATTTTTCTGCATGTGGCCTGTGGTTCTCGAGGGCCGCCACCTGAATGTTGTAATGAGTGTTGATCGAAACAAACTTCAATGGAAACAATTGCATGTTCATGAAGTACTATGAACATTTGCCACATCAATACAGGGGGCAATGTACAGGAGAGTGCAGGAACTTGCAACCAAGAGGCCAATTCCTTGCAGTTCCTCACCTCATACTCGAATAAGCCGTTGATGGCATAGTCAAGGTCATTGAGAAGGCTCTTCCACCTGAGTTCCGAGGGCTGACATTCATTCCCCAATGTACTTATATGGTGTAAGGGTTTGCAATTGACATGAACAATTAAATTGAAACAAAACGCTTTTTCTGCATCTTTTTCATTTCCACCATGGCTTCTTCCTCCGGAGTCTTCTCTTTCTTGGGTTTCCTTGTCTTTATGGCCCCAGTTGTCAGGTTCATGAACTCATTTCCAACGCCAAGTCCCTGCAGTTGTTTGGCCAGAAGTTGTTTGGCCCCCTCATCCCGAACACGTCCAGAGAGCGATGCCTCAGCTAAAACACGGAGAAGTTCCATATACGATTCCTCAAAAATACATACTGTCTTTTTTGTCACTTGTTTGATGGGAAGTTGCAGTTTTCTGAGTGGAATTGCCGCACGAAGTATCTTCGATGACCTCCTTGAGGACCTTGAACATCCGGGCTTTCTTGCAATCTGGGGCCTCCAAACAAAGAGCAGATGCATCAATTGCCCAGGCCCGAAAGAAAACGACAGGAACAAGAACATCGCAGACCCAAGTGGAGGCCATGCCTGTGGGTGGGGGACACCCTTTTGGCCTTGGACGTTCTCAATCGATCTTTGAATGAGTCTTCAGAGTAGCGAACCAAATCGATGAACAAGTTTGATCTAAAATGTCCAGATAAGTTTCCCTTTGTGACAGCTTCGATGAACTTCTTGGCTTCCGGTGACTTGCCGTATATCTTTTCCAATTGAAAGATGGTCACCTTATTTGCGAGGTTTGGGTGATTTCTTGCACAGCTCCATGACCATCCAGTTCAACAGGGAATCCCCACACTACTGTAAGGACAGGGCGGTTACGTAGCGATCTGTCCTCAACGACTGGACCCACTGAACGTATTTCTCTTCTATCTCCACCTCCGCGAGTGATTGGTTCTGGCACCATGCTTTTAGCATGGTGAACCTCAGCTTAGACTATCCACAAAAAAGGAAGCTGACCACAATCGAGCTTAAGTACCTCAGTAGCCAAGCTACCTCTCTGCGTCACTGGCCAACGAAAATTTGGCAACCAGCTCTGGTCGAGCATCTTTAAAGATAGCTCTCCGCATTGCACTGTATTGTCTTTTTCTTTCCTCAGTTTTGTACATCGGACTACCCTTTCCCTAGAAGAGCGACTAAATCTAACCAATCACACGTGGGATGCATGGTACCAACTAGGGCGAAACATCAAACATCAACATAAGGCTCTTCATATGGCATTTCAGCGGGTGATTGCATGGCTGCAATCTTGGCCTTCTCTTCCTCCGTAAACTCCCTTCGCGGTTGGCGCTCCGAGCGCTCCGCAGAAGTTGAAGGTGGGCTGCTCTCAGATACCTTTGAAAACGACAGCTTCCGGAGAAGGGTTTGTCAGGCTCCAGGAAAACAACGGACGACTGGAAGGGCACTCAGCCCAGGCACCGATTCAAACTTTAGCGCTCGCCGGGCGGACACTGAAGGAGAGAGAATATCACGAAGATCAAAGCTCTCCAAAGTTTCTGATCTCTCAACCAACATCTCCTGAACAGGCCATGGGGGGGATTACATGATACCTGTGGATGGTTTGCCGCTTCCCTTAAATAATATGTTACTTTAATACTCACCCCAGCACAAAGCATGGCCCAAGTTAGCTGGCCTGGCTTGCCGTCTTGGTCCTTTTCTTCCTTCCATCTGCGCTGTCAAACTCATGTTCTTTGCGCTTCTCTGTCCCCTCGGGTTCTTTGCTCCTCTTCTCAACCTTCTTTGTTCCTTCCACTTGCACTTCTTTCTTTGGCTCCTCCTTCTTTCTCTTTTTAGCTGCCCCTGAGCTCATCGAATCTTCCCTTGCATCGCTGTCTTTCTCTTTCTTCTGCTTCTTCTTCTCCTTGCCGTCTTTGGGAACAGCTGGTGCTGAGCAGCTGCTGCTTTCTGGGTCCTTGCTGTTCTCCTCAACCTTCTTTGCTGCTTCCTTTTGCACTTCTCTCTTCTCCTCAGCTTTCTCTGGCTCCTCCTTCTTTCTCTTCTTAGATGCCGCTGAGGTCAACGAATCTTCCTTTACATCGCTGTCTTTCTTTGTTTTTTCCTTCTTCTCCTTTTTCTCCTTCTTCTCCTTGCCGTCTTTGGGAACGGCTGGTGATGCTTTCTTCTCTGGGCCCTCGCTCTTCTCCTCAACCTTCTTTGCTCCTTCCTTTTGCGCTTCTTTCTTCTCCTCAGCTTTCTTTTTATCATCCTTTGTCTTCTTGGCTGCCGCTAC